GCCGTGCCGGAACCCGAGTACAGTGAAAAATGAGTAAGGGCTAGCTAGGGCATTCCCCAGAAGCGACGCGCCGCATGTCACCTGGTTACAGTGAAAAATAGAGAAGGGTTCTTGCGACATTCTAGACGAGCGCAGGTAAAGAAGCTAGTCTAAAATAATAGGATTTGTCTCGCCACATGGAATGTAAGAATCCTTACAAGTAAAAGTATGCAGTTAATGGATGACATGAGATGAAGGATAATGAACATAGCCTGTCTACAGGAAACCAAAACGAGAGAAGGCTAAAGAAATAGATGGGTATAAACTTTGGTATACAAGAAAGTATAGTACTAGAAATGGCGAAAGCATAATAGTAGACAAAGATTTACAAGATAAAGTAGTTAATGTCAACAAAATAGGTGATAGACTCCTATTAATTAAACTTGAATTAGGGGAAGAGATAATTTTGGGAGGACGTCCACGACATACCAAATGGAGAGAGAACCTTTTTAGGAAGGGACTTAAATAGTGATGTGGAGAACGACAATAGAGATATGAAGGGGCACATGGGGGATACGGGTTTGGTGAAATAAATGAGATGAGTGGGACAATTATAGATTTTGCTATGGCCTACGACTTAGCAATAGCAAACACTTCCTTTAAAACGTGAAATGGACATTTAATAACCTATAAAAGTGGATCACATAAAAGCCAGATAGACTTCTTCCAAGTTAAGAAAGAAGATCAACCATAATGTAAAGACTGCAAGGTTATCTCAGGAGAGAGTTTGACTACCCAATATAGATTCGTGATTATGCGTGTCTGTATAAAGACATAGAAGATTAAGGGTGAAATTAATAGGTATCCAAGAACTAGGTGGTGGAATTTACAAAATGAGAAAATAGACTTATTTAGGAATAAATTAGTCAAGAAGGAAAATGGAACTCCGAACATGACGTAAATGTTAAACTTAAGGCATATGATAATCTATACAGTAAACTGGGAACAAGAAAAGGTGAAAAAGATGTCTTCAAATTAGCAAAACTAAGCGAGAAAAAGTATACGGATCTATACCATATTAAATGTATTAGAGTGAGGATCAAAAGGTCTTGGTGAAGAGGTAAACAAACGGTGGAGAGTTTATCTTCAAATATTATTACATGACAAACACAATGGGAACATAACGGTAGAAGGAACCGTTGGCATAAAAGAGGGCGGAGGTCATAGATACATTCAAAGAATTAGGATATCAGAAGTGAAGGAAACTTTGACAAGGATGAAGATAAAAAAGTAATGCAGTAAAAGTTATCGTGCTCGATTATCTGGAGCGATCAAATCGCTATCAGAAGAAGAAGAAACAAAAAATGATTTTTTTTAAATCTTTATTTTTCTTTTAGAGTCCATTTGAAGTGAGTCCATATATTTAAATTTCAAATAATAATTTTTTTTTTTGTGGTGGGATCTGTGCTAAGTTGAAACAATCCTTTTTTTTAATAGGAGTTATCCTAATGAAAAGGATAAGTACGGTCTTATCTTTTTGGTTGGGTGTTAGTTTGGTAGGTTGCTTTTACTAGGAATGAGGTAATTTTGGGTGACATGGTTATCCAAGAGAAAAGGGAATAGTGTTGGTACAAAGGAGGGATCTATTGTAAACAGTGGGGTAGGGTTTTTATGGAAGTGAATCAAGAAGTTGACTTTTTTTTTATAGAGCATATAGAGAGAGAGAGAAAGTGGCCCTTTAGTGGGTTTTTTTCTTTTTCCTCTTGTGTTGTGGGTACGTGGTGGAGGACTCAGATCCGCACGTTTGTGCTTCCTCTTCTTATATCTTTCTCAGATTTGGTTTCTCTCTAAAATACAGTGGTATTTGCCGATTGTAGTTCGCGGTGAATTTTTAGATGCATCAGAAAGGCTTTAGGACCAGATGGTATTCTGATAGAGGTTTGAAAGTGCATGGAAGAGATTGGCATTGATTGGCTGATCAAGTTGATCGACAAGATGTTGAGAAGAAATAAAATGCAGACGAAGGGAGGAAAATATTGTGGTACCTATTTATAAGAACAAATGAGACGTACAGAATTATGCGAAGTATCGAAGGATCAAATTATGAGCCACACCATGAAGATCTCGGAGAGAGTAATTGAGCAACGAGTGTATCAAAAAATCAATTCGGTTTTATGCCAAGGAGGTCTACAACTGAGGTTATTTTTCTACTTAGATAACTGATTGAGTTTTGGACAAATGGAAAAGACCTCCACATGGTCTTTATTGATCTAGAGAAAGCTTATGATAGAGTACCTCAAGATTTGATTTGGTGGGTGGTAGAAAAAAATGGAATCTCCAGATATTACATCGACTTGGTGAGAGATATGTACGATGGAGCACTAACTCGTGTACGAACACCTAATGGAGAGATGAGTGAGTTTTTAGTGACAATAGGTCTACATCAGGGGTTAATATTGAACCCATACCTCTTTGTCTTAGTTATGGACAATTAACTAGGCACCTACAAGATGAGATACCGTGGTGCATGTTGTTCGTAGATGACATAATTTTGATCGATGAGACCTAAAACAGCGTCAACACAAAATTAGAACTTTGGAGGGATGCTCTAGAACCTAAAGGTTTTAAAATTAACCGAACTAAGATAGAGTATATGGAATGAAAGTTCAGTAATAATAAGAGTAGAGACGAGAAGTAGTTAAGATTAATGGCCAGGAAATACCAAAAAGAGCGCATTTTCGATATATTGGGTTGATAATCCAAGAAAATGGAGAGATTGAGGAAGATGTCACACATAGAATTAGAGCTGGATGGGTGAAGTGGAGATGTGCAACCGAAATTTTATGTGATTGTCACATAACAATGACGCTGAAGAGCAAGTTCTATATGTCAGTTGTGCATTGCTCCATGGGACAGAATGTTGGACGGATAAAAACAATATACCCATAGAATGAGTGTAGCAGAGATAAGGATGTTGAGGTGGATGAGTTACAAGACCAGAAGGGATAGAATTCTAAATGAATACATTTGAAAAAATTTAAGTGTGGCACTAGTAGGCAATAAGATGAGAGTGACTTAGGTAGGCTAGCCATGTGTGGCGTAGATTCAGTACAACACCAGTTAGGAGGTACGAGTTTGTGCAAGTGGAAAGCTCAAAAGGGCAATGGATAGGCCCAAAAAGATATGGTTGGAAGTAGTGATAAAAAATCTAGGGACTTATGGCTCCACTGAGGGTATGGCCCTTAACAGAGTAGAATAACAGAGACCAGAATTCATGTAGCCGGCCCCAATTAGTTAGGAAAAGGCTTTGGCGATGATGAACTATTATAAATAAAAAGATCCCTACTTTAAAGAGTTTATGTACAATCCTAAACCATACACACTCTTTAAAGGTGGGAGCAAGCTCCCCAAGAGGTCAAGATCAAGATCCCCAAAAGGTTAGGATCATGATACCTAGCATTTGGGGATTTAGATCTCAAATAAATGCGGTGCGTGGACAGCACTCCTAAGCATAGGGATCTACTAGCATTTCAAGATCCCCTGCTCTCTCTCTCTCTCTCTCTCTCTCTCTCTCTCTCTCTCTCACACACACACACATACTTGAAGTTCATATGCTGTCCAGAATTTTTCACAGTTTCTTTCATTTTTCTTTTAAAATTTTCCCACTTTACAGATTTTTGTCCGTCTTTCCATTCTTTCTAACTATTTGGACTTTTCAATTAATTTTCCTTTTTAAAGCTTTTAAACAATCTGACGAGTCAAACAATTGGTTGAACCATTTCTGACCAGAACGGACTGCTTAACGATTCAATGACCAATCCAGTCGTAATAAGACTGGATTATAGATTAAAATGTGATGCAACAGATTTGGTGGGAAGATTTCATCTGTTTCAAGATACCACAATTGTTGATTATACAAACACGTATGGCAATTCTCTCTCCTCATAGGAAGGGCATGTGGATGCCACATAATTAGTTGACTACAGGTTAATGTCTCTTTGGGTACACAAGGTAACCCTAGCATTGCCAGATAAGGAACTCATTTAGGGATGAGTCAGAGACAACTGACAGTCTTTGCTGGCCATGTAGTGTATGTTCTCAGCTAAATGACCCGTTTTAGGGTTGCATGATTAAATGACTGATTCATGAGCATATATACATGGCTCTTAACTTTTCCCCAAATTGATCTTTTTTTTCAATTAGCTGAAGGTGCAAATCAAATGGAAAATAAAAATTACTTCAGATTTGACTTTACAATGTAAGGTAAATTGTAAGCCTAGCGAAGTGAAACTAGATAAAGATGATAAAATTTCTAATATCGACGAAATTAAAGCGCATATCACAAATTAGTTAAAATTCAATTTCCAAGAAAAAAACAAAATTAATATCCGACCAGTAACATGAAATGCACGGACATAACTATCAAATGCTCTCCAAAGGATACAAGAACTTCGGTCGACAATACTGAGCCATTGTATGAAGGAGTAGGCATGCCTGACCCCAAGCAGCATTTGTTTCATCCCATTCAACCTAGATATTCAAACAAAACGGTCAATCAAACAAGCCAAAAGATGAATGTCGATGAATGCATTAGCACAAAGAGAAAATTAAGTATGTAGTCTTAGAAGGCCATAAGTTTTAAATCCAAGCAACTTCAAAGTGAACTGAATAGAATATATTCATTTCATGAGACCTGTTACTCCACAGCACAAGAGGCAACCAAAGCCAAAGCTGGCAATCACAACCAAACTTACTGGTATCTTAGGAAGACGGCCCAATCGGTAATTGTTAATTGTTCCAAAGTCTCCATCATGATAGATAGGAAAAGCATCATTCAGCACATTTGTTCGCTTCAACAATTCCAAATGTGCCTGGGAAACTTCAATCTTTGCTAAAATAGCATCCCTTTCTTCCTAGATAATACCAAAAAAAAATTAAAAAACAACAATTAAAATTTGTAAAATGCATCGGTCCATGACAATACATAACTCATAACTATTAAAGCAAAAGCCCAGAATTTGTTTTTCTTTGTAACAGATGAATCTCATTAAGTAATAAACTAATAATGGAAAGAGAAATAGAGCAACTAATCCCACAGTCCACCCAATTCCTTGTCTAAACCTTATTTTGGCAGCCAATTTGCCAAGGAGAAAGCTTCCTAAGGAATATGACTACAATATTGACAGAAACCACATTTATGAATTTTTGGCCCCAAGAAACTTCCAACTGAATAGAAATTCCCTCCCAGAAAGCATATCCTTCCACCAAAGTGGAGTATGTACCCAGTCTAGAGACTTTTATGAATACCTCCGAATATGTTAATTTTCGATTAAAATATGCCAATCTTGGATTTCTTTCAGCCCATTTCTCAAAGTTCCTTAATCTCTTCAATCTAATCTTTGGTTACATACATCATGGATGACTCACATACATGCGTTGAGCATTCTCCACTTCACCAGTTCAATTTAGTGAACATAAACAACAAACTCCTGATGTACAAATCTGCCCCTATCAATGAGAACTACTGTTGTAACAATGATGACAACTGACATCAGCCAAATGTATCCTATAAGATAGAAAATTCTACAAAGAACGACTGTCAGAAGTGATTGTTACCCAAAAACAATTTCAGCAGGTGCAAATTGAGAAGTCAATAGATATCAAGGTCATCAATATTATGTGATAGATTATCCTCTTAGGCTAATAGTTTATATTTCTTTCAAGTGTGGTATCCACTTCTCTCATCACTTGTGATATGAACCATGTTAATGTAATCTCATTCGAGCCGATGTTGCTAAGTACATACGTGCAAGTAGACCAATTGCCATCCTAGGAATGTGTGTATATATATATATATATATATATATATATATATATATATACACTACTACTACTAGTAGTACTATATAGTGTCGTCGGTCGACACCGTAACCTACCTACCTACGTAACGTAACGTACTACCTACCGTACGTACGG